GCTCCCGCGGGCCGCCCCTTCCGGGCGGGGCCGGCCGCCTCCCTCTGCGGCGCGAGCGGTCCAGCGTGGACCGGAGCGGGCGGGCGGGAGGGCGGCTCTGACTGACACCTTTGGGGGGCTCCGAGGTCCCGGGGAGGCGGCTTGCTGCAACTCCGGCTGCCACTTCCGAGCCACGAGGTTCCAGTTGTTTGGCCAAAGTGGCCGTGGGCGAGCACACGCCTCTGCGGGGGCGGTCGCCGCTCAGCGCGTGCTCTCGGAGCCTGGGCACCTTTGCCTGGAAGCAGAAAGGTGCCTGCCTGCCTTCTCGTCCCTTCTGTTCTGACCGGGCAGCGGACCTGGGGGCAGTAGATGGCAGAGCCGACCGCGCGGTGACAGCTTGTGGATTGGTTGGGGTGTATTTTGTTATTCATTTTCTTGCGGGGGGTACTTAAAAAAAAACCAACAACAACACTTTATTGGGACTTTATTTTCAAGCTGCCAGTTCCTGGGATCGCAGCTCGAGATACAACGTTCATTAAACTCCCCTTTTCTGGGGCGAGCATTTGTGTAGGTGGGAAGGAGGGGGGTGAGGAAGAGACTCCGAAGGCTGTCGGTGAGAAGCTCAGAAAATTCTCCGCATTACTCAAAAAGCAGCCGGCTAAGGTCAGGCTAGCCATGCTTTTACTCTTTCCTACGCCTCTGGGAATTCTTGGAATTTTACTTTAGCCTTCCTGAATGGGGTTCCTTGTCATAGCTGACAATATTCGGGGTGCGTTAAATTGCTCTTCTCTTGGACTATGATTTAGCAGGCATGTCTTCCCGTGTAGTCGTTCAGATGATTTTTTTTTTTTTCTTGAAACTTACATATGTCTCATGTTAGGCGAGGTAGTACACCGTTACCGAGGCTGAGATAGTTTTGGTACACTGGTCAAACAAGGAACCAGACATTGGCTGTGCAGTTATGATAAACTGCTAGGCCTGGTTACAGTTTTGTGTTCAGAGGTCTTATTACTCTGTAAACAAGTAACTTTGGGGATTGTTTCATTTTGAGGTCATTTATATCTTAAAGCCTTCATATATTTAAATTATTGTTTAAATACATGTATTGCCTTTTAAGGTTCATGTTCCTTTTATTCCAAATTAGTGTTACATAATGCACAAATGGTAACACTTTGAATTGCTCTATTTTGTCCTATGGAGACTACAGGCTATGTAGGAGGGTGTGTGTCTTTTGCAAATTATGCCAGTGAGTTCCATTTCCACCTTGGAATATTAAAATCTGTATTTTTTTTTAAGTTTTGAGGCAAAAATATAAAGCTGTTGTGGTTAAATTAAGTCTGATAGCACTATATAAGACAATTCTTTTTTATCTTCAGGAAAAATGTTGGATTTTATAATTTCCTTAAATATTTGAGGGAACAGTTTGCTTTTTTTTTTTTTTTTTAAAATTTCCTGAGGCTCATTTCATGCTGAAATTGTGTTAGACTACCCAGGCTGCTTCCTCTCCTTCACCTTTAAGCATGAGACTAAAAACAGAAAAGGAGAAAGAAAATCATGAGGCTCTGGGTAGCCGTTTTATAATGTTTTAAAATTGCCTTGCTTGTTTGAATATTTACTATACCTATAAGGCTTTACTACTGAATAATGGATGATTAGCAGAAGACAACAGATGTTTTAATTAAATGCTTTGCACATTTCGGACATCTGAGCTTTATCAGAAGTGGGTAGCATCAGCAAATCATTGCTGAGAGTTGCAAACAGTATAGTGATCACGCTAGTCTAGTCGGAGATCCTCGGGTGATTAAAACACCAAGAAAATAAATACTGAGAGAGGTAGGAAGACCAGTTTATATTGTTTATGTCATTTAGTCAATTCCGATTACTGGTGGCCTAAAGGGAACTTCTGTAAATTCTAAGTTAGGTATATAATAACACTGATAAATTTTCTTTTCCAATGTATTTCATTTGATACGTAACTATATTCGTATCAGAACTTGGCTTCAAGTAAATGTAGTTACCCACAAAGGATGTGCTGATATTTAGAGACGGGTGAGCAGAGTTGAAAAGTACTCAGCTATCTGAGATAGCATCATGCCTAGAAGATGTTAGAGAGAAAAATGATTGTAGTTTTGCTTTACTGTTAGGTTGTTTTTCTTTCAAAGCAACAGTAATTCTCTGTTCATAAACATCACATCTTAAAGCACAGAAGACCCTCTACTATTGTGGTACTAGTATTTGATTACATTTTTCTCTAATTGTAGGCATCAGCTTTGCTTCAGAGTATTTTGGGTTAGCTTCAAAGCAGCAGCAGTGATTGCCCCACACTTTGCTAGTATTCGTGTGTGACCACTTGGGGGAGCCTTTGCAGTTCATCTCAACGGGATCACGGCTCTGCTTGCACTGGCTGCTAATCATCCTGGGCACTTGGCCAAACTGCTGGAGAGTGTGCTGAGGAGGATGCATTCAGAACCAAGTCTTGATCTCAGTGTGTAATGACTTTTCCTTTAACAACTCACACTCCACTCACAAAGCACCTCTCCTTATAGACTGTTATTAACAGTGTACTTTTTGAACTACTGTTAAATGGGCTAACTAAATAACCATGAAACATAAGATTCATGAATGCATTATAGCTTTCAGAGGTCGGATGTTACTGGCATTAATCTTAGAAGCAGTGTAGGTTTAATTACTTGTTTAATGTACACAGATATTAGTTGTCTTGAAGGATCTGGAGAGATCATCACTCTTGTTTGAAGTATACTAATTCCAAACCTTTTAAAGCAGATTGGCCTCCTTTTGAAAGCTTTTAGGGGAGGAGATATCAAAGCATCCCTTATAGTTAAGTTTGTGTTCATTTCCCTACAGAAGGAAAGGCAGTCTTCTGGCAGCGCCATGGAGATTAGGTTAAAGATCTATACCTTTTGGTCATTAAATTATGATTATCCCTACCCAGTATAATAAAGTCGGATTTCTGCATTCTCTTTTCTGATAATATTTAACCTTGTTGTGGCCATTTCAGAAAGTGAGCTCAGTAAACAAAATAAAATGCATTTTTAATAGAGAGAAGTTAACTTTTATGACTTTCCTTAATTATGATAGAACTCAGAGACCATTCTCAAGTCTTTTTCATGGTACATAATGACTAACAGTTCACATAATCACTAACAATTTGGAGTAGTTCCCACCTTTTTAAATTGTTTCGGTTTTCCTTTAAGATTATTTTGCTTTTATCCTAAAATTCCTATCTTTTCGGTAGTGGCCCACGCCTTTAATCCCAGCACTCCGGAGGCAGAGGCAGGAAGATCTCTGAGTTCAAGGCTAGCCCTGGTCTACAGAGCAAGTTCCAGGACAGCCAGGGCTGTTACATAGAGAAACCGTATATCAAAAAACAAATGACTGTAGCTTGATTTTTTCTGCCTTGCCCACAGTCAGGACAAATCTCTGTCACCCGCCAGTCCCACAGCCACTCAGACCCAACCAAATAAACACAGACACTTATTTTGCTTGCAAACTGCATGGCCGTGGCAGGCCTCTTGCCAACTGTCCTTATCTTGCTAACTGTGCTTTTATCTTAAATTGATCCATTTCCATACATCTATACCTTGCCATGGGCT